TATATATATATATATTTATGGTATACATCTCTCTCATATGATTAAGGTTCAAGTTCTAACTCTAATGAATACGGAAAAAAATTTAACTTAGAAGGAGATATTTATTTATTCAGTCTCTATCAAACTCTCATAATTAAGAGATTATTTTTGTATTGAAAAAATACTCCTTGGTAATAAAAAAATATTTAAAAGAATAAAGGCATATCTTGCCATGAAACACGCCTTTATTATTACACAGAAAAAAAAAAGAGTAAAACACTTATTTTCTTGTAAAAAAAACAAATACATTTATTTTCTTCTTTTTTTTTCTTTCATTATCCTTTCAATTACAAAACAAAATTTTACTAAAACGACTAGTTTAATAAATAAAATATTGCTATCTAAAATATTATTTTTGTTTAAATGTATTTTCAGGTAATGGGATAAAAAAACACAGATAAAAGTGTGACTTCTTTCATACAGGCCTGTATTGGACCTAATTTGGGCTCACAACCTAGAGTCCAAACACAAAGCTCTTGTAAGGCTCATGATATATACACCTCTTTTTTTTATAAGTACACCTCCTTTATTTTTTTTTAAATTATAAAATACTGTAGTTTTTATTTTTATTTTTATAATTTTACACCTCAAACTTTTAATTTACTACTTTCTTTTTCTTTTTCACACACTTTTTTTTCTCTTTTAATTTTCACATGCTACCAAAATAGGTGGATGAAAGAAAGCTAAGGAGGTGCATATAAAAATTGGAAAAAAAAGGAAAATGTTTTTAAAAAAAATACTAAATTTAATGTTGTGAATATAAACTTAAAAAATTTAAAATTTAAAATTTAAAATTAAAATATTTTAAAATTTTAATTATTATTTAAAAAAAAAGGTGTACATATAAAAAAAAGGAAGTGTATATATCATGAACTAAATATGAATCTTCTTACAACGCAATAAACAAAAAGCCAAAAAAAACTTTCAGAAAAAAAAAAGCCCAACAAAAAGCTTCTTTTGTTTTTTGAATGTTTGTGGGTTCTCTGTATCAGTGCATCGTCAGTTGGTATCAAAATTTTATAATGTCAATAAATAAAAAATTAGGATATATATAATTTGTAAAGTAATTATCGTAAAAGAAAAAAAAATTATCATAAATGTCAACTGATAATATTGTAAAAATTATTTAAACTATTGACTATTTTCTCTACAATTAATCTAAATACATTATAAATTTAAATTTAAAAAAAGAATCCTTTCTCTTGTCAGAGACTTTATTGAGGTGGTTGATTCAATGGTTTATTTATGCTTCAACTCGTACTCATACCGATGAAAATACCAAATTGAAAAGATATTTTTCACCTATAATTTATTTTCTCAACCCAGTTTTTATACAATTTTTTAATTGATCTTAAAACAAGAAAAATTTAAAATGAATCTTCATCATCTACTATTAGCATTTTACTTTAGGCTTAAATTAAACCACAAAACTAACATCATTCTTAGAATGTAGAGCAAATAAATTTCTCCATAAATTGTCTTAGCTTTACAAAGATTAAATTTAATAATTAAGGATGTGAAAGAGTATTTTTCGTTAATCAAGGAGATTAATCTCTCTTAAAAGTTTTACTTATTCTTAATAAAAAAAGTTTAATTTTTTTTTTTTTTATCTTAATCGGGCAGTTTAATAATTTTATAAGCAAATACTAAAATTAGAAAAAAGAAACATAAGAAGAAAATGGTGGGGTTTGGAAAAATAAAAAAATGAATAGAAAAGTGGGAAAATCCGAGTGTGGCAGTCTCTCCAAAAGCGTTTGCAACAAAAAGACGACAAAACAGACTAGCGTCGTCATCCGTCAGAGATTCAGTTACGAGTTACGACTCCACCACTCTGCGTCACACTATTCTCATTTTCGTTTTTCAATGCCACACAAAATATATCAACCAACACTAAAACACTTTGTAACCTTTCTTTTTGCCTTATTCATATTCCTCTTCTTCGCATTGCTATTCTATTGCTGGATCTCACAATCACGTTATGTACAAAAACCAAAACATAAACAACCAAACAAAAACGACTTCCAAACGACGCCGCCAACGTCGTTTCGGTTACGCTCGCACCGCCGCCGAATTTTTAGATCTAAATCTACGACTACCGATTTACGCGCTGGCGCTGGCGCTGGCGGATGCGGCGGAGGTCGCATTCGCATCCGTGGCCGCGTTCGGCGGTGGAGACGCCGGCAATCTGGCGGAGAAATCGGCGGACCTCTCGTCGGAGGCGGCGTCCTCGAAGTTGAGGGCGTAGCTGAGGGCGTCGTAGTGGAAGTCGGCGGAGTGGCGGCGGCGGTGGCGGCT